AGTGAGCTAATGTATACAATTTATTTGGAAGTGCATTATACATACAAAACGGGTGAAGGGATGGATAGAGAGGAAGGAATAGATATTCCATAATCATTGTAATAAAATGTTAATGGTGGAATCTAAGCAATAAGTGTACCAGTATTCTCTGTAAAATTCTTTCAGCTTTGTTGTGTGTTTGGAAATTTTCATAATAAAATTTTGGGAAAATACTCATATCATTTGTTTGAATCAGATGAAATAGCCATTTTTGTGGGGCAAAATGGTCAAATACTGACCATTTTTTATGGTTCAGGCTAATGTATGCAATCACCTTTTGTTGCTGTTTATCCAGCAGCCTTTCTCTGGGTGTTATTATGAGGCTCCATTTTCCTCTAGTCATTGTACTTAGTTGGACTGGATTCATCTCTGGGTGGCAGAAGCTCTTGACTGTCTCTGGGGCAGACTCTTTCACCTCCCAGTCACTCGCCGTTTCTGAAAGTCTGCCTGGTTTAAATCTGGTCTCATTGTCGTCGCAAAATTTCTGTCCCTCATTAGCAGCAATGCTGGAGGGCCTGACGTGGGGAAGGCGTGGCTGTGCTCTCTGCCTGCCTGGGTCTGGGGCAGTGTCAGCCTAGCCTGTCCTAGGCTCTAGTTTATCAGGAGTGCTGAGGCAGGGAGAGGAAGGAAGGGGGGAAGGTCTGTGTCCCCTCACAGGTCCCTATCAGGGTCTCCCATACTGGTTGATAAGATCAGCTGGCCATGGTTACCTGCAAGTGACAGGCGCCCAGACACGGCTTCTGTGAGTTCTTACAGAGCCTGGTGAGGGCCTGCCCCATGCTTACAACTCTGCTAGCCCTCCCTCCCGACCCTCACTTGCTCCTGGGGCTCTATGCCTGGCAGTCAGCCCTTCTGAGTGAGATGCTGACAAGCTGGTACAAACCCCGGTTCTCTGTTGCTGCCCACGCTGGCCCATGGGAAGCTGACATCTTGCCAGGAGGACGCGCTGCTTGCTTGGCTTTTCTCTGCAGCCGCCCCTCCCCCGGTTCTCTTTGCCCCTGCTCAGCAGCATAGCTGACCTTTAGTCTTTGGTTCCTCTAGAGATTGGAACTGATAATGGCCTGTCCCCAAACCTCGTAAGTCACATTGCTAGATAATCCAGCGCCAAAGCCTCCAAGCAAACAGTTACTCCTGTCAGGCAGGATATTCTAGGGACCTAGAAATCACCTCCAAGGAGGCAATGACAAAAGCCACGCCTCTGTTTGAGTCAAGTTAATTCTTCACTATGCAGGTTTCAATTGCAGCCATTCTTGCTTTTTACTTATTACTGGTATTTAGTTTCATCATTATTCATTTATTTCGTAAAGGGTTGTTGGCTGCCCCCCAAATATATCGTGATGCGTAATTACATCAACTCTTTGGCCTGTGCTTTTCTAAGACACGTATGTTGTCTAATTTACGCCCGAATCTTCTGTAATTTTGTGCTAGTGCTTTTATATACCTTCCCCTGCCCATTTGCATTTACACTTTATTGTAAATGCTGACTTCTTTTGCCTAGAAAGTGGGAGCTAGTGGGGAAGGTTGGCTGTAGATCTCTTGCTGTCTAACTGTATTAAGGTCGAAAAGCTGTAAATCGGCTGTGGCCACGCATATTGGCTTTGTGACCTAGTCTCTTGCCGGGGAATTAGAGTTAAATGAGTAGGGCTAGGCTTTTGTGTTATTGGGTTTAGCTTGGGAAAAAGAACTTTTTTTGTTTTAATAACTTTTCACCACCTCAGCATTTCTCAGTAGACACCATAGCTCACTTTTCTTTCTACTTTAGCCACTCAGTTCAGCAGGAGACTGTCTCAATGTTAACACCATACTAATAACTGTTCCTCACACAGACAGGTGATTGACGAGCCAAGGAGTGGCCTTTCCTCTGAGACTAAGTCTTCTCTCTTAACTGTATGCTGTGTAGGGAGAGCTCATTGCGTTTAAAGAACTAACTCATTAGGCCTGGCATGAAGAACATTTATGTTGTGTTTTAGCATTTTCCCAATGGAGTTATGGTGCGTCACAGATTCATAAGGTCGGGTTGATGGACTTGTGTTCTGGATACAATTGTCCTCTTTTGCACTGAATCGGTAGTAATACAGACAAAGGTGTAGGCTCGAGCAGTGGTTCTTCAACTTGGGGTTCCAGAGAACAACAAAGGTCCCCAAAAATATCTGGAGGCTGAAAACGATAGGTCTGGCTAATATTACTTATACGGATGAAAATGGAAATGACATTCTCAGTTTTGTTTTACTAAATTAAATTCTAAAATTCATGGCAGACCCTTGTCACTCCACCAACCGCTTGTGCCTTTGCTACACAGGGTCAGTTAAGAGGGCAGTGTGAGGTGTCTGGCTATGGAGTCGGACAGACGGGGCGACAACAACCTTCCCACCTGGGCCTCCTCATGTTCAGTCAGCCAAGATTGATCAGGGAGGACTTTACCTGACAAAAAGCAGTGAAAACTTGGTCATGGACCGGCTTGGGTTCATAACCAGTGTTTAGGAACCACTGGGCTTCTTTCTTGATACTTTCCTTAACTCCTTGTAGGTCTTTTTCTCTTGTGAATTAATTTTAGGATAATTAAATTCATGGAGATGAGGAAACCTGTAGTGACCTGGCTACAAAGTGAACTAAACTTTGCTCCCTTATTTCTGAAGTGTTAGCCGAAAGAGGCTTGATTACGTCTATAATCTCAAGGACTTGAGAAGGAATTTATTCACTTACTTAACAAATGGTGGTTGGGTTCCTTAAAAGGTGCAAGACAAACGTGCAGTAATGGAGAAGGCAGATTCAGTCCCTGGCTCTCTGAACCTTGCATTCCGGAGGTCGAAAGAGATTAAGAACTAATCCCCAATGGAATAAAGCTATGACGAGGTCACACCGCTGTGAGAGCATTCTAGAGACTGCTCTCAAGGGAGGGCTTCCTTGAAGCGGTGGACTTTGAGCAGAGTGAGCAGGAGCGAGCTGAACTGAGGGAGACCTGGTGGGGCCGTGTGGACATCCCAGGAAGAGGGGGTGGCCTGTGCAGAGATCCTGAAACACAAAAGAGCATGGTGAGCCTTTTTTGTATCTGGCATATGCACAGCTTGGGGAAAGGACCCAAAACTGAGGCTGGAGTGGTGGGCTGGGGCCATGTCAAGTAGAGTCTCCTAGGCTACATTGAAGGTTTGCATTTTACCCTGAGAATACTGTTATAGTAGCCTAGGAGGTAATTGTAATTTAGGTTTGGATGATTCCAGTAGGGAGGCAGAAATATGGGTGATTTGAGGCAGGGTTTCCCACTTGTTCATGTCATGGCACACACAAATGCTTTTTATTTTTTTTAAAGATTTTATTGGGGAATTGGGGGAGGTGAACAGTGTTGGAGAATCGGGGAAGGGGAACAGACAAGTTACTGTCCTTTTGTCCTTCAGTCTAGTTGTGGAGGACGTCGCTTCACTGGCCCATGTTGGTATTATCATTGCGCTCTTCCCGGGAGAGGCAGATGGGTCACTGACCACTGGACGGCCGCTCAAGCCGGCTGCCGGCTGCCGGCTGCTCATGCTGGCTTCCAGTCACTCACGGTAGCTTATGGCAGCCCACTGCAGCCTCACTGCAGCCTACACTTTCGCCAGCGACTCACGGCAGCCCAGCTCCATCCAGGTCAAGCTGTTGTTCACCATCTTAGCTGTAGAAGGCAGTGCCACTGGCCCTCACATGGGATCCGAACTGAGGCCCTGCTGCTCAAAGCTGGCGTCCCAAGCCAACTCTTAACCAACGTGCCTCTCGGCTGGCCCCACAAATGCCTTTTAAAATATACTGGGGTAAATAAATAGACAAGGATGGCCCAGGTACAGAGGAGAATGTGTATTTTGGCATAGTGGTGACCCATTTGCAGCAGCCTGGTGGAGAAGCTCTGATTCGAGAGATGGTATTACGGAACAGAGGAGGAGTATGAAGTCAAGGATTTGGGCTTGAGCAGCTGGCGTGATGGAAACACAAGATTTAGAACACTGGAGAGAAGAGGGGAAAGATCATGGGTTCATTTGTGTCTACTAAGTGTGGGGTTTTCTTAAGTCATTCAAGTGGGGCATTGAGTAGACAGATATGTGGGTTTGGAGCTCACAGGAGAGAAAATGTTAACCAATACACAAGTAAGTGAAGTCAGCCAGGGAGATGGCATAGGACCAAGGCTTATGGAATTTCCACATGTAAAAATCAATTGGAGGAGAAGGAACTAGCAAAGGAGGTTGAGAATTAGCCCAGAACGGTAGAAAATGTACCACATGATTCTGAAATAATGGAAGTCAATGGGAGAGAGTGTTTACGAAGGAGGGAGAATTCAGAGCGGGCAAGTGAGATGAGGACTGACGTTTTCTCCTGGGTTTAATTACATGGAAGTCATCAATGTGACATTAAAACTGCACTGGGGCCACATGCAGAAGCCAGATTGCAGCCTGCGGGTTGTAAGGAGTGAAAGGGTGGTTAGAAAATGAAAGCAGTGAAGGGACAGCTTTGTTGAGAGTTTTATCTGTGATGGGAAGAAGAAAGACAAAGCAGGGGTTAGCCATGGGGTTGAGGGAAGCGCAGCAAAGGCAGAGGCTGGGGGTGCAGGAGAGTGAAGGGATGAAGAGTGGAAGGCAGCAGAGGAGGGGAGCGTGGGTGGAGGAACTAGCAGGAAACCAGAGAGCGAGCGCCCGTGAATCCAGGCTTGTGTGCTTGGCAGTGTATAGTGCTGATGGCTCTGTTTTCTCTGTGAAGTAAGAGGTGGTGACAGTTTTTGAGTATGAGAAGACAGAATCATTTAGAGGCAAAGAAATTCAAAATAGTCATTGTGGAGAATAGGAAAGTGATTGACAGGTGGTCCTGAGGGCTGGTTGCGGTGGCTGTACCGTGTCCTGTGCCTGATTTTTGCCAGGTATTCCCAGCTGCCCTTGCTGTCATGAGAGGGTGAATCACTGTTCATCCAGGGAGGCAGTTCTGGCAGACTGATGCAGTGGAAGGATAGAAGAGCAAAGGAACTAGCAGTCAGGGAGCGACTTACAGGATGAACTACGGACTCTTAAGAGGAACTATGGAGTCTTAAGATGGATATACGAGCATTAAGAGGTAGTGTTCCCTCGCTGAGGGTGGTGTAAAATTAAGTTTGACTCAGTGTGCGGAGTTGCCTTTTGTTATTTCTGTAACACTGGCTATTTAATATTAGGTTTAGAATGGTAAAACTGGTTCATGTTTGCTTTAGAGACTGTATGTAGATGAAAAGTTTTTTGTTTTAAAGAACTGTAGTTTTTATATCCTGCAGTCATGAGATCCAAACAGGATGCGCTTTCTTGGCAAGGTTGCAGAATCTGTTAGGGTGGTTGTGCCAGGAGAACTATAGAGATATTCCAGTAGGAATGAAGATGTGATTAGAAGGCGAGTGAGGTGGAGCTTACGGTAAGGCCCATGGTAAGAATGGGAGAATGAGTGTCAGGTATGGAATGGAGGGAACAAGGTTACGGGGGGTGAGACGAAGGAAAGAGCACCTGTCATGTTGGCACAGACATTGAAACCACGTGGTGATGGCTGGAATCCAGGTGAAGACTTCACTGAGGGGAGGGGACACTGAGCCGGTTGGTGACAGTGATGAGGCAGGCTGGAGGGTAGTGTATTTGGATGGCATGGACCTCAGAGGAACAGGTTATTGGTTTTGTTTTTTGCTTTTTCCTTCTTTTTTTAAGAGGCAAGGAAATGATGGTCTGGAAATTGGTAAAAGCAAGAGCTGCTTTCTTCTCCTCTAGACCCTGAAAATTGGGGATGGCCAGGACAGTAGTGCAATGATTCTCTTTATGTGTGGTCCCTAGACCAGCAGCACCAGGTCCCCTGGGAACTTAGTAATGCAGATTCTCAGGCCCCACTCCAGACCTACAGACTAAGAAACTCCGGGGGTGCCCCAGCAGTCTGTGTTTCGACAAGCCCTTGGGGGTGACTGACGTGCTCTAAAGTTTGAGAACCACTGCTGTCAGGGGTAGCTGATTGGGGGAGGGGAGAGAAGTGTTCATTGCTGACGCATGACAGGTCTTGTGGATTTTCATCTGGTAGGTTTTGGAGGAAGGTGGAACCCAGGCCTCAGGGGACACAGGTCTTGGCTTTCCTGGTCTCTAGTGACATCGGGATGATAATAATAGTCTCAGAGTACATTAGAAGTTTGGTTTTTGCTTAGACCTAGGAGTTACTACTAGTCCCATACAAGGAATAGTTAGCATACTGTTTAGCATACTATTACTTTAGTTGTCTTTGCTAGCGTTTTAAAAACATGATTTGCTCTATGCAAATGAAATTTATTTTTAAACTTGCCATCATAAAAACGACATTGTAAGAGATAGTTACTTAGAATTCAGAATTTCTTTTTCCTTAAGAAATGTTGTGATGGATTAAATGTTATTTCAGACACATGCTAATCACTCTGGCTAGAATAACAGGTACGCCATTGTTGTGAAACTGAGAAGACATTTTATTGAAATAACTGTAAAACTGTTGCAAAAGATGCAGGAGAGGGTTAACTAGAGGACGTGTGGATAAGTGTGACGGAGTCACTGAGGAGGAATAACGGGAGCTGTGTGGGAGAAGCCTCAGGGCTGAGGTATATCCACGTTTAATAGCTGTGATTCTTGTCTCAGGTCCCCATTTGGCCACAGACCTGTAATGCAGATTACGGCTGGCCCTGCACAGGCTGTAAGGGGAGAGGAGAAACGCTAGCAGCTCCGCCAGTCCCGTGGCAAGCTAAGCTCCTGAAAAGAGCTGTGAATTGGAGAGGAGGCGGCTTGTGGACTAGTCCTGACGGAGTCCATACAAACGTGTGGCATGGGTGACATCAGCACATGTTTGCAGGCCTAGTTTTTGCCAAGACATATTTTACAGGCAAGGAAATTGAGGCCCAGAAGTTTGATGACTCGGAGTTAATGAGGAAGAGGGGAGGGAGATGAATCCAGGCCTCTTAGTCTGAAACGAGCTACCTGCCATTTGAGTGTGATGGCTCCATTTCCAGTGTCACCAAGAAAGGTCTCTTGTCACTCTCTCTCTCCGAAACCACAAAACAAAAGAAAGCTTCTGAAATATTTGTCTAATAAATGTGTGTGATGTCGGGTCATCTTAAACCTCTGTCAACAAATGATTCGTGATCTTTCAGCATTTTAGCTAGCACTAACTTTTGGTGGTTCCCTTGAGGAAGGGAATGGGGGAGTGGCTCTTGTCTGAGGACACCTAAGACACTCAGTTCTGTTTAGTTCGCCCTTATGCCTTGTTCACTCTGACCCAGTTCTGGGCCGTCAAATATTGGTACCGACGGTTGCTGACTCCTCTTCAGAACATTTAAATGGTTAATTTATGTGCGAAACCTTCAATATTACTGAAAACAAATGAAGGACTCACAAAGAACTTTGCAGCCTTGCTGTGGATGCTATTTGTGTGAAATCAATTTAGTAATCTAATCAGAACTCGGATGAATTCTGTGAACTGCTCATCTTAAATCAGTGAGTGAGTGGTACTAACATTGGGCTGTTTTATTTCCCAGAAGGAAATATTGGGAGATGGGGTTGGAGGGAAGTAGAACAAAATCAGATGCAGTTGCCAATCTTTCTAGTTCCTTCCCTGAGGCAGTGAGTGCCTCTGAGTTCCTTTTGTCCGTGTCCGCTGTCTCCCAGCCTTCCTGCCATTCGCCCCCTCTCCCTTTATTTCCCCTTCCTTCCTCTCCCTCCATGCTTCTTTCCCAGCTCTCCCTGCTTCCTTATCTAGTGAAACAGTTTTTTATTGTTGCTTTACTTTTGCTGCTGGTTGAATTAGGCTTGGGATGGTAATGCCTGTGAATCAGAATTCTAGAACATTAACTTCTTAGCATTTAGCGTTCTGTTTCATTCAAACAAGCTAAGTAATGGTCTTTTCATGTAGGCATTTGATTAGATTCTGAAGAGCCAAATCATGCTGTGTCTGGGCTTGGGGCCACATTTGATAGCAAGACTTGTTTCAGTTTTGAAGGATTTGGTACTTCGGCCAAAGCCATTAAAGATGATTCCATAAACCAAACTGGCTGCACCGTTTGTTCTGTTTCATTTTTTTAGCATGCTTGATTTTTTTTTTTTTCTTTAGGGTTTGGAGTAGGGAGATCGGACCCACTGAGAAAGGAATCCCATAAGAGGGAGAAAGGCTGTTGGATTGCTAGCAGTGCATTTCAGCCTGAGAGGTTAGCAGAATTTGGCCATGGGGAAGAGACCTCTAAAAATAACTGGTGACTGGAGTGTGCAGTCGGGTCCAATTTCAGTTCTAGAGGCCTCGCCTGTGGAGCCGTTGGCCAGTCTAGAGCTTCAGTAGGGAAGGGCACGTGGTGTGTCCGATACCTGCTGATGGAGCTTTGATTTTATTTCCCCTTCCATATATATTACTCATGGATTGAAGAAATAAAAATGGCTGAAGGTAAAGATCTATTTTTATTGTTTGGATTAAAAGTGCTCTGAGCCTCCTGACAGTTTTTAGCCTTATTTTCAGTTGTGTGCTGTTAAGATATTTTTGGCTAAGTGCTTTGACTGCATCTTACACATTTTCTATTTTGAACTCCTCGAGATAACGGCTTCCCAGTGGTTTAATTTTTCACAGAATAATCTGTCTTTAATCTGAATATGTTTTGGTGTCTTAGAATAGTTTTAGTAGATTGTACAATCAGAAACTACATTTTACAAACTTCAGAAAAATGTATAAGCAGTCTTTCTTAATTTTATAAGTTAATTACAGTGAATTTTAAGAATTGTGTGTATTCACTCATATAAAATTATAGAAAATTTAAGGGATGTGTGTGTACTGTCTTGTTGGCCCACATTTAGTTGGCTGAAGCAAAGACTTAGCATATGTGGAAACTGACCTAATTTTTGTGAAGCAGAAGATAAAGGCAAAGAAAAGAAACTAGGATTTCACCTTATTTAAAAAAAATTAAATCATTAACTTTCAAGTGTTCTTTAATGATGTGTTGACTTTACATTTTTGTATATACCTATTTTTGCTTTACTTTGTTAGTTAAGATTGTCTTTCCATTTGGTTGAAAGCAAGCTACATTGGCTCATTCTGTTGAAAACTTACTTAAAAAAACAAAACCAAAAACGTATTCAGGCTGCCTAACGGGCCCCTGGAAGGCTTCTATTATTAGTATAGAGAATATGAGTATCACTACTTTGAACACTGTTTTGGATGAATGGTTAGAATGGGTCACTTGACTATTCTAATAAAGTACCTCATGCAGCCATGAAGAATATGAGATATATATCTGACTCTTAATTCTTTTAGAAGACATTTTTCCCCTTTTCTGTGGATCACATAATCTACATAGTGAGATAAAATCAGCTGTTATTTCTGACCCACTTTTAACAGTTCTTGATTCCCAAAGGGTGACATTTTTTAACGTGGAAAATTAATCATGTTGATGAGTTGCTTGACAGTTTTTGTGGGGTTTTTTATACTTTAAAGGTTTAGAAGTTATGTATAAATATGAAATTGCCAGCATAATGCTACTGAAACTCGTAAATGATTGATTTGTAATTTAGTTAGTGGTCCAGATAAGTAATTGACTACTGTTCAGGTACTGGGGTATATCTTCTATTTTTCCTTTCCTCAACCAAATAAAATGACGTGTTGTCCCCAGCCCAGTCTCCATTTCAGAGAGAGACACATTCCATTGCTCAGTGTGGTGATTTTCTGTGTTTGGTAGTATGTGCGACAACATTTTCTGATTTGGAGGTCATGTATTTTTGATGGGTCAACACAGAAACAAATGAATCACATAGTTCTTGCCATATTCTTAACCCCCATTAAAAACTCTTTTTGGCTAATCCCTGGGACTATAGGTCGAACTTGGGGCCAGAAAACTAAATGAAGACTCTTAGATTTATTTTCATCTTAGAAAAGGGACAACCACTAGATGTTCCAAAGTACCTTTGACACAAAGTGCTGGTGTCAGGTTTGCTTAGGGAGTTTTAAACCCTCATGAACGGTTTCTATTACTATGCGTTTTTTCAGTTTAATTGGGCAGAAATGGATCTGCCTTTTTCAACTAGGCACACGATATTTACAAATTGATATATCAAGAGTGTATTGTTTGTCAATTAAAAAGATCCCCTAAAAAAGGTGTCTTAGGAATGACTCCTTTCTATAATTTACTGTTTTGTTCCTTTAAGGAATTAATAATTATTAACTGATAAGATTAGTAATACTAGAGTAATACCTCAGTTTGACATTATAAAGTGATGGATAAAATATTGCTAATAATTCCATATTCTAAGTAACAACCCTTTTTTGACACTTGCGTTTTAAAGTGATAAATCTGTTTAGTTAAAAAGATACACTGAGTAAAAAATCTTTCTAAGATTCATTACACATTTATTGCATTCTTAAGCAGTTTAAAATAATGTTGTAATGACAGAATCAATAGGAAGGTTATTATTACCTTGTACTAAAGATTATTTTAAGACTGTTCTGGGTTTGCCTACACACATCAATCATAAATGGCCTTCTGCCACTGTTCCTTCAAGATCTGTGTCTATTCTCGCTGCTGTATCCATGTCTTGTATAGGCTTCCCTCCCGTGTTGCTTTTACTCATTTGGGCTAAGTTGGCTTTAAAATCTCTTCGTTTTTTTGTTTTGTTTTGTTTTTCTTAATTGGGGAATTGGGGAAGGGAAACAGCCAAGTTGTTGTCCTTCAGTCTTAGTTGTGGAGGGCTCAGCTAGCTCAGCTCCAAGTCCAGTCGCCATCTGGTCGCCCATCGGCAGCTCACAGCTGCTCAGCTCAAGGTGCCATGTTCAGTCTTAGTTGTGGCGGGGACATAGCCATCATCCCATGCGGGAGTTGAACCGGAAACCTTGTTGCTAAGAGCACACGCTTTAACCACTGAGCCATCTTGCCACCCATTGGGCAGCTCAGCAGCAGCTCACCTTGGGCGCAGCTCACTGGCCCATGTGGGAATCGAACCGGCTTTCTCAGAGCTCGCACTCTTAACCAACTGAGCCATTCGGCTGGCCCCTATTCTTCAGCTTTATACAGTGATTTAGGACACTTGACTGAAGTTGTTAGAATCATGTCTCAAACAAACATAAAGAGACTCTAGGTAAAGGCGTGGTCTTCACCTAGGTTGACTTTATCCCCTCTCTCCCAATGCCTTCTCTCTGCTTGGGTGCACATGTTCATGTAACTATTTTTCAAAAACTCTTTTCCCAATTTGTACTTTTATTTGATGTTGCAGGTCAAAAACCCTTAGATAAGTATTACTGAAGCAACTTGTATCGATGATACTTCCCTTTTGAGAAGCTGAGAAATTTTCCTCCTTCATTTCTGCATCAAGAAAGAGATAAAAATGGAGAAAGAATTGGGACTTTGAAATCAAATTTTTTTTATTAGTTATTTTATTATAAGCTTATGTTAAATAGTATCTTTTTTTATTTTTGAGGGCGCTGTCTTTATTTTTTTGTTTCATTTATGAAGTTTTTAAAAATTAAAGTATGGTAGACATACAATATTGGACATGATTATTCCTGTCTTAACCCCTAGTGGTTCTCAATCAAGCACTATCATTGTAGGGGACACTTGGAAATGTTTGGGGCTGTTTTTGTCATAATCAGTGGGAGCTACTTACCTTTGGGACCAGTGAAAACCAGAGATACCAGCTGCAGTGTGAGGAACAGTGACACAGGCTGAAGAATTGTCCTGTACAAACACCCAGAAATGCCCTCTTGGGAGATTCTGACAAAAGAGCACGTGCAGCTGTGCACGTGGAAACACTTTGAAAGCGATGGCATGTGGTCAACAAATAAAGGACGGTTTCTTCCTGGTTGATAAACTTTTCCTTTTTTCAAAGGGCATTTTGGGATATGACATCCTTTTAATTTAATTATTAGTATTTATATGATATATTCCTTTTTAATGGAAACTTGAATACTATGCTCTTTCCTTTTAAGGACAGGGTTAGCCATTTTCTATTAATACCATTTGACTTTCATCATTTTTGTTTATTTTTGGTTGTAACAAGAATATTTCTGGAAGACTGTAAGGTATATTAATCATGTCAGACGTGACAAATGACACTTTTGGTGAACAGCAGTTTACCAAACTGTTTCCTGCATTGAGACCAATTGTGAATGAGCCTTTTCCTGTTTCCGTAGGTCCAGTGGGTCCCATAGGACTTAATTGTCCTGTTTGCTTCTCTTCTTCCCTGACCTCTGTTTCCTATAAATAGTTTTCTTCCTCCTTCTGTCCCTCTTTGGCTAAGAATATGGAGCGGTTTGGGGAGGGGAGGTATTTTCTGTGACAGTTAATAGTTTTTAAGGTTCTACAGAAACTAAATGGAACAGAGAAAAGGATTTGGCTATATTTCTATATGATTTCATTAAATTGTTGATATGCTCTGAACTTTGAAGGAGGGGATGTTTAGGTAGTTTGGATAAAGAACTTAGAAGGAAAGGTTATAGTATTCTATCAACCTTTATTTTTAAAAATAGGATTAGCTCATCAGGAGTTTATTTCTTTCATTACTTGGAAGTTAGAGTTTTTTAACATGTGTTGAGTATAAACAGAATCTCTTTCATTTTCAAAAATCTTTATTCTGTGTAACATGTTTTGAGAATTCAAGTGAAAACAGTTTTTGAAATGATCTACCATTGTAAGTACTATTAAATTACTGGAGAAATAATTCAGCAAAAAGAGGTGTTTGATACAGTGTTTTCTTTTATAATGACATTGTACATCCTTTTATTTTTAAACAGACACAAAGCACAAGAATGGAAGGAAAGGAGGAATTCCTGGCAGTTCATTTTTCACGTGGTTTATGGTCATTGCGTTGCTGGGGGTTTGGACATCAGTAGCTGTCGTCTGGTTTGAGCTTGTCGATTATGAGGAAGTTTTAGGTAAGACTTTTGATATCATTTCTCATGTGAATTTATGAAAGAATAAGTGACATCCCTTAGTAATCTTAAAGACTTATCAGCATCTTTTTGGTACTGTTAATTTCTGTTACCTTTCGGTGGTTCTTAGAGTGGGAAAAAAGGGGATGTTATTTATCAGTGTCTTTGGAGTAGTGGCTTTTCAGCTTCTTTAAATAGTAGGCTTTATATTGTATGTATACCACACAGAAAAGTTTTATCAAACAGTACTTATTGTCATTTACATGCAATACTCTATAATTTCTATACTATTTATTATATTATGAATTTAAAAAATATTGATTATGAGCCACTGAGTTCATTTAAGGACCCATTAATGGATCATAAACGTATTATAGAATTCGTAAGACCTTGCCTTAAAGAACATTTCAAAGCACAACCCTATTCTGTGTCCTTGTTGGATGGGTGTGTGTGTAGGAACTGTCTGTAAGATGGTCTGAGGAAGTTGCTGTGTTATTTCTGATATCTGTCTTTCCCCTTATTTTTCCTTTTTTCTCCCTATAATCACTACAATTTTTATGATTTTTTTTGCATTAATGATTCTTTCCCATTTTAGAGTCATACTCCTTTTTTTAAACCTCACCAAGTCCTTTTTTTAATTGAGATAAGATTCACCTAAAATAAAATTCAATAATGTAAATACTTGAAAAGCAACAGTTCACTGATTTTTTTATATAGTCATCATTTTGTGCTATCATCATCATTATCTACTTCCAGAATATTTCCATCACTCCTTCCCCTCAAACACCCAATTCTCTGCTCCTGCCCTCTTCCGGCAAATGCTAACACACTATGTCTGTGTATTTGCTTATTCTGGGCATTTCCTACAAATGGAATCTACAGTATGTGGTGTGCTGTGTCTGCCTTTTTGCACTTAGCATAATGTTTTCAAAGTTCAGTACTTATTCCATTCTATGGCTGAATAACATTCCATTGTATGGATGGATATACCACGTTTTGCTTATCCATTCATCAGTGATGGACATTTGGGTTTCCATTTTTGGCTATTGTGAATAAATGGCCTTCCTCTTTTGTAACTCAGTGAAAGACGTGGACCCCGCCACTGAAAAAAATGCACACATCTTTACATGAACAGTGTTATATGAAAATCTCCTCCTTTCTGTACGTCTCCGGTACTTCTTAGATTACATCCATCTTTCTGGGGGGCAGAAGGCAAAGAATTACAAAACATGCTTATGTGTAACCTACCTTTCATTGAAGCTTCTTATTTTTAACACTTAAAGGGAAGTGTCTCTGGATATATATTGATAGACTTACAGAGGAAGAATTTTAGTGTGGAGACAAACTTCTGAGTAGATCTGTGCTTTCATTGACTTGCAGTGATATGTTGCTAAAGAAAGTGCATTAAACAAAAGAAGAGATTTCAAATATTTGTACATTTAAGCACAAGTAACAATTTTCATGTTTTTACATGCATGCAGCCAAAGCAAAGGACTTCCGTTATAACTTATCAGAGGTACTGCAAGGTAGGCTATTGGAGATGCATTTCAGGTCTCCTTGTGTTAGTCTCTCAAATGTTGCCTTTATTCTGCTAAGTTAGTTATCACCTGCATCTGAAATGTAAGTGGCAGGACCAGTTTCTCCTGTTAGTTTGTCAGAAAGTATAGTTTTGTTTTGTTTTGTTCGGTTTGTTTGTTTTTTTAATGTTTCTCATGTTGTTTGAGCTCTGTGCTATAGATATAGCCCCCACCTGCAGATCAGTGCTTTTCATTTTCTTAGCAATGGAAAATGAAATTATTATTAGTATCTATTATTAGTATCATTTATAATGTATGTGTACTTGCGAAACCAGACTTCTACATAGTAAGCTTCCTATTTTCCTAAGTAAGACAAGTGCTCTGAGGGTAAAGATTGGTCCCAGCTACTCTACTCCGAAAGTTCTGCCTGCTCTTATGCAGGGTTTTAATTTACTTTTTTTTAAAGAAACAGTAACAGTGCTGTCAACTGGCTTTTTAGCACTAATGCTGTATTGGTGAATGTTGTTGAAAATATTGCTGTGCATTATTATGCCTCTTCACAGCCATTGTCCAATGACGAATTATAAATTCATTTTAGAATATTTTTTAGGGAATTGAATGCATGTGACTCATACTCGAAATGCTAAACATAACAGTGGTCCTTCATGATGAAGTGTTATTAAAGCCTTAAAATACATGTTTACTATTCTTGATGAGGAAAGGCTCTAGTAGTATTGTCTTCTCAGGTTATCTATGTAAGCCGTATTATTGTTTTCTTAGTAGTAGATGCCAGTGCTAATTAAGTTTCTAAGTAGGATAACCGTAAGTTTTAGGAAGCCAGTTTTACATCCTTTATTTCCAGAAGTCTTTTTTTTTTTTTTCAAAAGGTTGATTCCTGATGTTTCTGTTGTAAATCATTATTGTAAAATATAATATTAATTGTCCTCTTATTTTCAGTATTTATACTGGGTGTTAATTACTTATATTTAGTCTTTACTTAAGGCTTGGTGTGTGTTCCTTCTGTTTTAATGTTGATGGTGGACTTTCATACTTTAGAAACATCACATTTCATGTGACTGTTAGAGATGGATCAATGTTATTTCTTATATATGTTGAAAATCTTGCCTAAAATAATTTTAGCAGTATAATAAAAAGAAATGCTCTGAAATAGTTAAATCAGGGTATTGTTAAACCTTTAAGGAAAAGAGTGTCTCAAGTATGTTTCTTAGATTTGTTAGGTGAACGTTTCCTGAATCTCTAAGTGAAGTACTTTCCCATTGTTTTTAAGATATTTATTTAGCACTACTTTTCAGGATTAAAAGAGCAAAGAATTGCGTTGATTGGTCACACTTATGGCTGATGTACAGGACTGCAGTAAGTGGTAGTACCTTATTAAATTTGTTTCTCCTCTTGTTCTCGTATCCATCTTTTTCCCCCTCTTGTAGGAAAGCTAGGCGTCTATGATGCTGATGGTGATGGAGATTTTGACGTGGATGATGCCAAAGTTTTATTAGGCAAGTAGACATTTTATTTTTTGTTAGTGTTGCTGAAATGCTGGAAATAAAAAAATATTTTTGCCTTGAATAATATCTGTGTCGATTGTAAATATTTTATGAAAGATATTTTCCCACTTAAAGCATATTATTTCATTCTTGTTGAGATGTTAAATGGCTTAGTTTTTTTCCCATGGACTCACATTTCAGTTTATTTTTATAAATGGGTAACTTATATAGCTCTTGCACATATACTTTGAATAAGTACAAGTATAATAATTTCATATGTATTTTCAGATTTAAAGCACTTCATGTTCTGAACTTAACATTTGAACATATAATGTGCTAGTCTGTATTCAGATACATTAATTGCAACATTCTTTAGCATCATTTGACATAATCCACCTCCATTTGAAAATGTAATTTCTATAAGGCTTACAGAAATTCATTTTGAAATAAAATAGTGGTAGTAAACATCTTAAAATGTGCATGTTTCACAGGCAACATTAACATATGAACTAACAGCCTTTGGCTGGGTTTCTTGATTGTGATTGTGGAGGCCTTGAGTCCTTTTTCTGCCACCGGAATTCCGTGTCTTTATCATGGCGATGTTTCTTCTAATAAATAAATACGTGATATTCCCTCATTTGTTTTAAAATGCTGTGTTACTAGAAAGGAAGGTGCTGGTTTTAATATGTAAGTTTTATATAACCTGGCCTGGTGAGATAGTATTTTGGTGTGTTAAACAGCATCATTTCCCTTGCTTTAGTATATAACGTGTGTATTAAAACTTTATACTAAAGCCTTTAGAAAAATAATGACTATGGCATGGTATTATACACTACAATAAGCTGAATAAAATCATGCCACAAAGCAATTCTTCCTAGACACACAATTTTTGTGTGTATTTTATGAATATGAAAAAATGGGGGGATACCACATCTGTAACCAATGAAACTGTTCTCAGTAGCTTTATCTTCACCTCCCTATGAAACAGTAAGTTGTAAATATGAAAAAAAGGGTTTAGTTATAATTAAATGTAATATAGCTTCTTAATTTTAGTTTCCATTTTATTATTGCTCAGTGGGAATAATGTTTGCTACTTAACAATAGCAGCTTACTATCTATGAAGTTTCTTTTCCCGTCTTAACCCTAATGGAATTTTCTATGTCATTTTGTATTACATATCTAAATTTGAGTTTATATAAACATAGTAAATCCTCAGAAGACTGTAATCCTAGGCATGCAAAATAAATAAAATTATATGGAATTTAGTATAACAGAATGATACCAATTTGCTTGCTTATAAATGGTTTTTTACTTCATTATATTACTTTATTTCAAATGATGGATTCTGAATAGTGAAGCTTTTTAATTTTAAAAATAACTTCGTGTGGGCCAAGGTACCTCATATTCAGAAATAACATTCTCACCCGTATATTATTGGCTTTTTTAGCTTTAAACCAGCTATTTGGTCTGTCAGATAGGAAGTGTCAACTATTAAAATTAAAATGTGTTATTTTTTTTTTCTATCGAACACACTAATTTCTGTAGCAAACTTACATTAATAACTTCACTTTTAGTGTTACAGTTAGATTTCAAGAGTTTATTCCCCTTAAGGTTTTTAAGCAACCATTAAGAGATCAATTAATTGTAACTAACAACAGTGCCATTTGCAGGTAGACACATGTGAAATGGGCAGATCATAACTCATTCCTTTTATAAGAATTATATGTTCAGAGGTGGAACCGAATTTGGTGAATCTTGGTTAAATTTGGTAGTTTGCTGTTACGTGCACAGAGGCTAAGATAAACTATTTTGCAGTGTATATGTACTAATTCACAGCTGGCTTATGGATTCAGTAAAGATGAAACAAACCAGAGTGAGCTATTGCTCTGACGTTTGAATTCTCCGTATGAAATACAACCTTGACTGGAATTGAATTTTATGACTAAAGTTCTTTTCTAGTTTGTGAGGTTATCGTAATTTAGTTGTGCCTCTTACTGGCATGTGATTGCAAAGAAAGAAACTGGTGAAATTCGTGGGGTACAGAGACAGTAGTGGCTCTGTATGTTCAGGGAGAGGTTATGGGGGGAGTAAATTCAGTGAGCATACACCCAAAAGGAAGCCCAACTTCCTGGGTGCATTGTTGCAGGCAAGGCAGCTCACGGGTAAGGGTTTTGGATTAAGGCAGGGGGTGTCCAAAGGAAAGGATGACAGTAGGGAGTTGGAGGTTAGGGGAGAGCTTGGCGTGGTAGGTGTCATAATAATTGAGATTGTTGAACTTGCATAGTTTTGGCATTTCATTCATAAATATTTCTGTATTCTTAAATCTGCATGTATCTAAATTTTATCAGCTTGAGGAAGTGTACACATTCATGTTTATTTTTCTTTCACATTTTAAGGTTGGTTTTTCTTGTGAAATATAAAGAAAGAATGAAATGTGTGTGAGTAAATCGAGATCAGTAGCCATCATTAATTTTATTATTTCATTGTTTCTGGACATGGCCCTTATGCTATACTTTGAAAATATTCTAACCCTGTTCTAGTTGACATAGCTTCCTGCTTTTGTGGCAAAATTGTTTAAAATAAAGTATCTTTGATTTTGGTTTGGGTTTTTGAAAACTACATTGTTTGAAAATGTATTTTTTGAGAACTTGTTTCCCAAATAAAATTGATAGGAAAATGATCCAAGGACTGAATGGTGAGAGTACCCTCTTCGTAGAGTAACAACACGGAAGGAATACACGACTGGCCTTTTTGCCTGACTACTGCTTCGCTGGCACCATGTCAGGTGCGGCTGGAGAACAAAGGGAAGCCAGTCCACAGTTCCTAGAGCCGTGGTGGACATTTGTGGGTGGGAAGGATGCACGAGGAAGCTGAAGGGAGGGAAGCACTGGGTCTCACCCAGTCCAAGGCCTTCGCCCTGCTCTTTGGTTTCGGGCTACTCTTAGAGATTAAGGAATTATCCACCCAGAATGTTTTCTTTTTCTCTTTGGTTAAAGAATATTTTTATCTTAAGAATCATAGAAAGGTTGCATAATTGGGTAAATAGTTTTATTTAAATACTTTTCCATACTTGTTACACACGTCAACGTGTCATACTGAAGGGCGGTAAAGTTATATGTTTTATATCCGATACTTGGAAGTTCTTGTATTGGAAGATGGAGAGAAATAAAAATGTTTATTGTAAATATACAGCTATAGTATATTAACGCAAGAAGAAGAAACAGTGTTATTTCCTCAGAGACTTGGGTGGGATACAGATCTTTGTTTATAGTGATTGTCAACTGTTAAATTTAGTGGAAAAACATTCTGGGTTTGTCAAAAAATAATTTAAGTACCAACTTCAGTTTGTCCCCTTCCCCCAAATACATGACAAATGGCATGATGCAGTTCTTCTGTGGACTAAAGTGGGGGAAATTCACTATAATCCTTGATATTTATACTAATTATCTTATTAGTATTATCCTTGACCTGTCCATCTTGATTGCTGGTGGTTATGCTATATGGAGAAATTCTGTGTTGTCAAAGCCTGAAACACTAAATTAGATGGTTATAATTTCACCTCTAAATCACGGATGTTCACATTTCTGACAGCCAGAACCTTCCACCTTGGTTTGTTTGTTTGTTTGTTTTCCCCTTCCTCAGAATCATGGGCCTTGCTGTATAGAGCTTGGTGGTATTGATGGTCATTGATACTTACTGGAACCAAGAGACCTTCCCTACCCAATACCGGTGCTTCACCGAAAAGAAAACACATAAAAGCAATATTACTTTGCTTTCTTTCCATCCTAGGCCCTATTATGGGACCAAGACTTAAACAGTAGGAGTCAAGGGTCTTTGCGGTAGAAGCTAATTTCATAGACTACTGTGGGAAAGAATTTTAGAATGTTGTGACAAGTGGTTGGCTAAGGCCTTGATCACATTTCATGTTGGTAGGCAGAGTGAACTGTTATTAATAACTGACTTTTATTATTGGTTAAAATTGCAGGACCATGAGTCAGTAGCCAGAGCATTATAAAGGGAACATATTTGATAGTGTTAAAATTTAAGTTAATTACCTGAGTTACATAATTTGAGTGCATTTTTACCCACTTATGGAGACTATGAACAGTAACCCTGCTATTCATGTTAATTTCAGAGTTTCCTAAATTAACTCCAGGTCCTAAGGGGAAAAGTTTGAGGAAATGAACCTTTCTATTTTCAATGAATATTTATGGATGTATGTACATGTTTGTATAATCAACTCTCGATAATATCTGGTTTTTTAAATGAGCAAATCTGGAGGCTGTCTGAAGGGTCTATCATTTTGCTCTCATTCTGCTATGTTATTCACTCTTCCCATTGACAATAGTCAAGCGATTTTGGCTGATGCAATTTTGTGTTTTTTCCAGCTCCAGATCCTCTAATGAGAGAAAGGCAAACCTGGTTAGGGGCTGGTAGGAATTGTGAGGACGGGTCAAATTGTGGCTTGCCTTTATTGCATATAATTGAGAGTTGATTGTAAGGTGTGCATCTTAATCGGTTTCTTTATTTTCCAAAATATCTTCTGTAAACCCCTGTGACCATGATGCATACCCTTTTTGAGATCGCTCTTCGTCAGCTTCTTTTTTCCACCTAACTGCTTTCCTTATTTTTCTCTTTCTCTCTTCCTCTATTCTGATGTAGGCCTGACCAAAGATGGCAGTAATGAAAATATTGATTCCCTTGAGGAAGTCCTTAATATTTTAGCAGAGGAAAGTTCAGATTGGTTTTATGGTTTCCTCTCATTTCTCTATGATATAATGACTCCTTTTGAAATGCTAGAAGAAGAAGAAGACGAAAGCGAAACCGCAGATGGTGTTGATGGTACGTCACAGAATGAAGGGGTTCAGGGAAAGACTTGTGTCATTTTGGATTTACATAACCAGTAACTTTGATTCAGGGACTGAAGCCGTGGGCTTATGAAAACCGGAAGCTGCCTCCTTTTTCTTTCTTTCCTTTGCTCACCCAGGGCTTAACGTGCAGTGGGGCAGCTGTGATCGCACTGCACAAGGCAGCCATGTGGTCTTTCCCCCAGTACACCTCCTAGCTAGTCCCTTGCGTGGCTTCCCCACTTCCAGAAACTGGCGTTCCTCATTCTTGTAGTGGTCAACAAAGTACATTGAGAATGATGTCCTTGGTGGTATAATTGGTTTCTGTATTGTTTTGTTTTGACTTATGTATTCACTGAACTAAATTTAGATGCTTCATAGCAAATTGTTTTGTGATTAACCCTTGCCGCTTGTCTTTCTAACACACTATTAATTAAGATGCTTATAATGGACTTGATTATCAAAATATTTCTAGCATGATTCGTGAATTAAATGCTCTGTGGATCTTTAACATAACTGATGTTTAAAATGATGGTTCTTTAAAAAACTGATTTTTTTATTGTAATTTGTCTAGGTTAACTGATTTGTCAGATAGGTTAATACCAGTTTCAATGTAAAATTCTGTATTTATGGTGCTTTTAAAATAATTTGAAAATAACCCCATGTTTTTGCCTTAGCATAGTTAAGTTTCTGTATTCAGATAGTAGTATATCTGAATATTTCTGTCTATGAAAGCAAAATTTATTTTTAATCTCATTTCCAAATATACATCCAGAGAAAGTAATTTGTATTTTTTTTAAAATAGACATAGTACACAAGAAGGAAAATGTGAATATGTATCTTAAATCATGTTGTACATATTAAAATTATCCATCCCAAATAAGTCTTTTTCCAGTTTTTTCCTGTATTACCTTATTAATTGGCTATCAGTTTTGGCTTAAGTATAATACAATTTTTAGATTTGTAAGTTTATTAAAGTGGTCATTCTTTTTGCCATTAGAAAACCTTAAAAACATCTTTGAATCAATTCATTTAAAAGTAGTTTGCTTCAGTAATATCAAAACCAGTGATATTAGCCATATATAATATGCATTTCTTAAAATGAGAGTTCATCTGTTTTCTCCCTCCAATAAAGCTCTTACAGCTCGAAAGTGATAAGACCTAAGACCTTTGTTTTCTTTTACTCTCTTAGGGAGTAGTGTTTCATGTTTTTAAATCTCTGAACTTCTGTGAAACTTAGCTTTGGTTCTTCATGGAGCTTAAAGTTAGAAAATGTTTGCATTTTTTAAACATTTTATTTATAATAATTTCTACTTTTCAAATATTCATTCCTTATTTTTTTATGTTTAATGAATTTGCTTTCTGTAAGTGGATTTTTTTTCAGAAGGAACCATGACAAATTTAGTTTCTTTGGTAGAAGTCATTCTTGTAGGTGATCAAAATGATAGCATGAGACAGCAAGTCTGAAATCAGAACACCGGAAGCACACCAGCTTCTGCCTCTACTCACCACTTACATGCATTGGGGAAGACTGTCCAATTTGCTAATCTTATTTTTTTTTAAGGCATTATTTTAAATTACTTTTGGAAATAGATAAGGATGTTGTACATTGGACAGTGATCTCCTAAAGCTTAAATGGCTATTAAAACTCTAGTTTGTCTTCCCCTAGTTATTCAGGGAATATGTTTTGTTCCATTAATGTTTCCGACAGAAGCTTTTGATTTTGGAATGTTAATATTCTGGAACAAATGAGTATGGTCTAAAAATATGTTTTTCTGAAAGTCCATGCAGTTTTTGCCCCTACTTTGAATTTGAAATTCAAAACACAGTGACATATCAGAGTTCATTAGGTGTACATTCAAAAGCATTCTTAGGCCTCTCTCAATGAAATTTCCTTAGCCAGATGTCTGAGATGTATTTTTTAAAGCAGTATTATTTCTTAATGCTTTATTACTACTAACTGTAAAAGATGTTTGATTCATTTATGAGAAGTAAATAATTAAATATGTGTGTTAAACATGTTTGGAATCTTTAATTTCTCATCAGGCTTGTTTTTTTTGTCATTATACTAACACACATTTTATGTACAGAAATTAATTATGCTTTATTTTTGTAAGTGAAAAATAAGGGTGTGAGATCATAATTTGCCATTTATGTAGTATACCTCTAATCATCCCTTTTGAAAAACCTCAGACGGAGGTAACAGCCGAATAGCTGATGAACCCCTGACTTCTGTGACTTCCTTCAACTTGTGCTTCAGGCTTGTTTTGGTGAGAGAGAATAAAGTTGTTTGCAAAACTGGTATGGAGTATTTTGGACCTGATCAAAATGACCTCACTTAAATTTTATTTGTTATATACATTATAATTCTTAATTTTCCAAGGATTTATTGTATAATTTTCAGTTTCATGATATATTTTCCTAGCTTAAGCTGAGGAACATGCTTCCCAAGGGAAAATTGCGTACGTTTGAATATGTATAGTTGTAGAATTTTAAGTTTCACTATATGTCTTCTGCTCTTCCCATTGTGAACGCCCAAAGTAACCTTGCATAACATGCTCTGTATCAGATGTGGTGGTGTCCCCTCAGAGCTGCCCTTGCTTTTTCGGACACGCTGCCATGTGTCCAACTGAAAAGGCACTGGGTTTTCTGGACTTCAGTGCAAAACAAAGGAATTGCACGCTGAGGACTTACTTGCTGCATTTGAGCCTCTTGCAGCCCTGATTTTCCCTGTCACGTGAGTAGCGGTGGGTCAAGGCAGTTGGAGAAGCGTCTTCTAGGTGCTGATCTTATTTATTAAATTCCTGACCTTAGCTGCAGCTTGCTGCCCACGGACTCACGCAAGTGCCTCAGGCTTCGTGGGGTGCTGGGCGACCCCGCCTTTTCATCTTGTACCCCATTCTTTATTTTGGAAGTTCCCTCCTGGTCTTACAGAGCTGTATCCAAACATGTAAGAAACACTTTTTTCTGCTTGGCTTCTGGTTTGTTTTTCTTGATAGTTAACAACATTGAACAAAATCTTTCATTGTCTATCTTGGTGTTTATAATTTTGGAGGATTATCAAAAGCAGATACAGGCATAGACAATTATTCTTCACTTGTACAGTTGGCAGTTGCACCTTTTGGAGATTGATGTTCAGTGACCCTTTCTAAGTAAGATTGTGGTCTATAAAACAAGTAAGACGTTTTCTGCGATTTGGCCTGTGGCATGTTCTTTGATCACAGTCCATATTTGGAGCACGTTCATGAAATTCAGTGACAGCCTTTTTCATCCCCAGTTGGTTGATGGGACATCATGCCGAATTTTCTGCTTCAGTTATTTGCTGAGATAACCGCGTCATACATAGAAAGAGGTATTAACTCAGCTGCGAGCTCCTTGAAGTTAAGAGCCAGGTCTCAGGCTTCGTCAGGATCTCTCTTCAAAGCTGAGCTCAACAGATGATACTTATTAAATATGTACTGGGGTTAGTCCTGATGAGTGAGAACCTCAGGAGTTGCCTATTGCATAATAAAACACTGCCGTGTTTGTATTTTTAAACCAGCTTAAATAAGTGAAAAAAATGATTGGACATATCTTTTTTTAGAGAAATGACATTTTAAAGTTTATACAGTAACTGACCTATGCCAACAGAGGTCTGCACGCAGTCTTTTCCATATCTCATTTGTATTTGAGTCTGCATTTTTATTCAAACTCTCAGCCTCTGGATGTAATCCCTTCCTCAATCTTTAGTCTTTGGGTTCTGTTATATTCTTATCCTCCCTTCCCTACTTATCATACCAGGTTGGAAGGTTTATAGCTTTCTTTTTTATAAAGATGCCTGCAGTAGTATATTTACACCATCTATGTAAAAATAAAAAGGAAATTGGCGTAGTGTCCTAATACGCTTTTCACCAAAACTAGACATCCATTTGAGAGCGATAGCCTGCATAGTTCCCAGATCTGTTACTTAGGTATTTGAGCCTCTTTTTTGCTACTGGTAGTCAATGCTGGAATAAATTATGCTGTTTCAGTATGGGAAGGACAAAGATGAGAAACTGAGGCTCCAATTGACTCACAAGTCTCACCAGGGACCATGGGAGTGAGTGAAATGGCCGAGTATGAAGTGGTACCCCACCTACCAATTCTGGGCCAATTCTCTGAGAATCTTCAGTACCTACTTGTGTTTCTGTAACGGAACCAGGCTTCTAACATCATGTCTGTTGCATGTGGGGGAACTGCAATTCCAACCATTCGCTTAACGATTGAGTATTTTAATGTCATACAACACATTTCATTTTGAAAATGTGTGTGGGATAGTGGCTCTGAGGCAGTTGCCAAAATAACATTAATTACCTTTCAGCAACTTGTTCATGTTCTAAGGCAAGAATTTTAGACCTGCTGTTTTCAGATTTCTGTAGAAGAATTCCCAAATAGTCAACAGGGCCATTAATAATAATCACCTTAGAAACCATCAGAATAAACATACAGGACAAAACAGGAGTAAGCAGCATAGTGATTATTTTTTTCCATTCTCTTCGACTATTACTACATTCTAATGCTTCTTTGATGACTGCCTTCAATTGGAATGTTATTCTATCAAGAAAAACAACTTTTATCCAAATGGATTACAGAATACTAAGATGCTTCCTTTTCAGGCTCTAATTGATATAATTTTCTCCATACTACTTGGACACTTTTTTTTTTTTTAAGATTTTTTTTTTTTAATTGGGGAATTGGAGGAAGGGGAACAGACAAGTTGATGCCCTTTTTGTTCTTCAGTCTAGTTGTGGAGGACGTCACCTAACTGGCCCAAGTTGGCCCCATCATTGCGCTCTTCCTGGGCGAGGCAGATCAGTCGCCGGCTTCTGGACAGCCACTCACGGTGGCTGCTGGCCGCTCACGCTGGCTGCTGGCTACATATGGTAGCCCATGGCAACCCACTGCAACAGGGGCTGCAGCCTACGCCGTCGCAGGCGACTCACGGCAGCCCAGCTCCAGGTTGAGCTGTTGTTCAGCATCTTAGCTGTAGAGGGCAGTGTCACTGACCCGCATATGTGGGATCCGAACCGGGGCCCTCTGGCGTCCCAAGCCAGCTCTTAACCAACGCGCACTCAGCCGGCCCTTGGACATTATTTTTAAGGAGTTATTGTATTATCATGAATTTTATTGTTTAATGGACTTGTCCCATTTTTTCCCCTCCTGGGCATTGGCTATGGTAGTAAAGAGAAAAAAGAAGAAAAATGGGGCACACTTACTGATTTTTGACGCTGTAGAGACACCAACCATAATTACAAGTGATAAGAAATTAATTCTGTCTAGAGTTAGGACTTATATATAAAAGCAATGTCTTACATATGTGCCTGTGCGTTTTTCTGGGGCCACTTCTCTAATGTCCCCAAACTTGTATTTTTTTCCCCTCTACGTGCTGTCGTCGGTCCTGGATCACCACTGACCTCTTCTCCAGCACGGGGCTTCACACTGTTGTTGGAAAAAGATCTGTTCTAAACTTACCTGAATTGAAGCTCTGTGAGCGCTCACTGCTCTGTGCGAGTTGTGCTCTTCAGTAGGTGTTGGGAGCCTTTTGCATGCCCTTCCACCTTCCTGCCTCTGTGGAGGTGAGTTTGCTTTCTGCTTTCAAGACCGTCCACTCTGGCTTGGGTTGCTTTATCTCCACGCCTCTACACAGTACAGCATTTCTTTGCTCTTTGAATTGCTTTGAATCATTGTTTCCTCTCTCACTGGTCGTTTTTTCACATGGGACATCCTCTGGTTTCCAAAGCTAACCCTTCTCCTTGTGTCTGTTCCTCCTCTTTATGGTCTTATCATTGTCCTCTCTCATTAATGCAGCTTCTCTTTCCTGTGGACATGCCTTTGTTTCCTCTAGCCTTCGAAGCATGCAAACACAGAGGATGGTCCTCAAACCTTATTCTTTTTCTGCCCCCTGAGAATCTTGGGGAATTCCACACACGAGTATGATCAGTTTTCTCCTAAGGAGATAAGAGAGCCCCTCAGGAGCACCCTGGGCTTTTGCTCACCTTTCTTTCCACCTGGGTTTTCTCATCACTGTGACATGACTATCTCTTGTACTGCTTGTAAAACTTTAAACTGAACAACCATATGGGACGTTTAATAACTAACATTATTCAGCAGTGTCCTCATCCTGAACGTTTGTTCATGCCTTCCTGCCTAAAGCTGCTGCCTTGATTTTCAGAACACTGCATTTTCTTGACTCTTCTCTCCTTTTCTTCATTACTTAGGGGCTTGTCGATTAACCTTCTGTTTTCCAAGCACTATTTCTTTCATGTCTATACTATTGCAATACTTCAGCGACCGCATATGATAATTGTGGCTTAAATGATTAGCTCAGTTTTTATCATGTCAGAAGTAGAAAAAAGTCATTGACTTAGAGTTCGGAAAAGGCAGCTTAAATTGATACTTTGGAATTTTACATAGTATATTGTACATTGTTAATTTGTGTGACTCTTAAGGAGTTATATCCACAGCAGAAAGTTTTAACTAAAGTGCTTCTTTTTTTCCTGTTTCACTAATCCAATGCTGATCTAATATTTTAGCTTATAAATGACAAAAGTTAACTTTAGCCTTTTCAACAGCATAGCTGTTTTGACTATATCACAATAGGGTGGGGGGCCTGTAGTCTGACTCCTACCACTGCTTCTTAACAGGAAACTCCAGGCCTGCATTTCAGGAACATTCAGGAGTCAGGAGGGGACATTAGTGTCATTAAAGTGCGTTTACCTACTTTGTGCTAATTTCTTTTTTTTTTTATTGGGGAATTGGGGGGATGGGAACAGCACTGGGGAATTGGGGGAAGGGGAACAGACAAGTTGCTGTCGTTTTGTTCTTCAGTCTAGTT